ATATAACTTAAATAAATGTAATACGGGTTTTTCATATAAAAGATTAGTCTATAAAATCACCTTTACATATATAAAGGATTGAATAATGTAACTACTCACAGGGAATTCTCGGAAAATGTTTGACATACTCCCATTTAACTTCGTCATTAGACTACAAAGGCTGTTACTTGTATAATAAGTACGTGTAAGAGAGGTAACTGTATGGAGATGAGTATAAAGAAACTTGGCCTCGGGCTTGGCTCTTTAATTGGGAGACGAATTTCTAAGCATTCCATGGATTTATCGTGCGGGTGCCGGATCCATCGTGTGGCAGAGAAGGAAACTGAACAGTACCCGGGACTTGTGACCCAAGTGTAGGTGTAGGTGCTACTTCGCCAACGTACGTCTACACTCACCTTCGCCGCTCGTTTTTTTCTCCCTGCCCAGCCAAATCTGATAAGAGTTTGTTAATGCAGCTTTAGATACACGTTCTAGTATAGAACCCACTGCAATTCTAAATGGGCTTAGATCCTTTAGATGATTATAGGGTGATTTCGATGGTATACCTCTCGCTCCCAGTTTGACTGCATATAAATTAACCACATAGTCTTTTTTGGTTACATCGTTTATTAGTTCAATAAATAGGGAAATTTTCCGGAAAAAAATATTGAGCGCAAACCAGCAGGTCTATTCTGCAGTCTAATCTCGAAATCGATTTCAAACCAATTCATATATGTATTATACTATTATTTCAATATATATTCAAAACTAAACTGAATAAAATGATAACATTATCAGTTGTTTTGTTTAAAATAAAATATGGATATATCTGTGAGAGTAGTAGTCATTCCGTGTAGCTTAAACTATATCCGACTTAAATTTCCCTGTCATTCCACTTCCTTCCTCTAGTGGTTTAGCACAACAGTTTACTTCCGAAAATGTCGGGTTATTATTCGGTGCAACATGAGTATGACTTTTTGTAACGATCTAGATATTTCTGTCTACATTATTTATTTAATTACAATATATATATATATATATATATATTTAGATATAACTACTTACGTATTCATGTCAATATAAATACTTATGTATTTTGATCAGTTGTTATTTTTAAACTTTCGTGTTTATTTATATTTATATTTATATTTATATTTATATTTATATTTATATTTATATTTATATTTATATTTATATTTATATTATATTAACCGGGACTTAACGTGAATAATTTTATAGCAAATATACCTAAATAAACTTCTCTCGACGTTTCGACTAGGTTGCACTAGCTGTGGTCACGAGCTGACTGGAGTAATAGCGATGTCAATGTAGATAAATGTCAGCTGTTATTTTTTACTACCGTCACACGTCGTACGTACGTCTATTTTCTACCGTCACTAGATTGTCCAACGAATGTTCGCTACATAATTTTAAGACATCCTCCATTGTTAGTCTCGACTGAAATTGGGATATTTTTTTAATTTCAATCGCTTCCCGTACCATTCGTGGACATTAGTGGCGAAGAGACTTACTCCAGCGACCACGGCTTGTGCAACCTAGTCGAAACGTCTTGAGAGGTTGTAGACCTTTATTTGGTATAAAATTATTCCTATCAGTTGTCTAGTATCCGTAACATAAGCTTTGCTTAGCTTGTAACTAGATGGCGCTGTGAGAACTGACCAGAATATTAAATGATGGAAATTTCCCAGAAAAATATGCTTTATTTTCAACTAGTATTTCCAGAGATTCAAACACACATACAAATCGAGCTCAATTTTATGTACTAGTACAGTTTCGTAATACTTATTTGACGTTGTGTGATGGGCAATAAGTTTTTATTGAATTGAGTTACAAACGTGAAATGGGAGATGTAATGTCACATACACAAGTAATATAACATTATTTCTTTAACGGAAATGACTTTTAGTACATCCCGACAGAGTTTCATGTACAAAGACATTTTTAGAATGGATAATAGATTATGATTATAAGAGACGTAGTCTGGTCGCTGAATAGTCAATATTAGGCTTTAAAACAATATTCGAACTCTAATCATAGCCTGATGATAGTTTGTTTATAGGCGAAATAATATGGGAGCGGATGGATGTAGATCCCATAACTGTCGGAGTTTGATCGCTACTGGAGAAGATCGTAACGCTTCCGGAAGCGGTTTCCGCACCAGAGTGTCCTCACACATGCTAATAGCGGAATTAAACAAAACAATACAAATAGATTAAGTAACGAAATGAACTTTTTTATACTACGACCGTGGCAAACAAGCATACGGCCCATCTGACTTCCGTAAATTAACACCTAATTCGATGAAAGATATATTTTTCCAATGAATAATATTAGTAGTATTTATTCTCATAACGGCTACCCAAGAAGGGAGCCATTATGAATGTGAGTTAAATCTTCTTATGATGAGTCTGCTTTCCGAATGAGTGATAGAAATTAACACCTAATTCGATGAAAGATATATTTTTATTTATATTTATATTTCACCATTTTTAATTCAATCTAGCAAATATAATAAATAGTAAAACAATATAGTAAACAGCTTGCTTTGTATATAGATATAGATGATCAAAATCTTAGTCCTATAGAACGACAATGAATAGGGTGTATTACGTCACATGATGACATAATCACGTATAAAATAACCTTTTTTTACTTGGAATGGCAGAAAGGCTTACATTCTGTTATATATTTAGCCAGATAAATTAATAATAATTATAAAATTTTATTTTAGAATAATTATTTTGTTTAATTTTTAATTAATTAATATTGATAATTATTTTTACTAATATATACAATAATATACAGTTCAATACAGTTCAACACAGTACGAGTATACTGAGTTATATATATATACAAAGATATATATACTTTAATATTGTAGTAGTGGCTCGTCCCGGCTTCGCTATAACTTTGTGAGTTTTGTATATATTTACATAATATACAGCCTATGCCGCTCTGAAATAATATACCCTTCAAACAGAGAAAGTATTTCTTAAATCGATGCAGTAGTTCAGGAGTTTGTTTTCCTCATAACAAAATGCACTACCTCTTCCTTCCTCCATCTTTATTTGTATAATGTTAGTATAAATTCGTAAATATGATTGTAAATGTTGATTTTCTAGGTATATCAATATAATAAAGAGGTAAACTCAGTAGATCCAGAAGATCTGTAGCAGTAGATTACCACACTCCTGGTAATCTCCTCATTCTCGTAATCTTCTGGATTTACTGAATCGTTTTAGAAAATTTTATTTCCGATAGAAAGCCATGTTATTTATGAGTGTCATAAGCTATATAACATCACGCTGTGACCAATAGGAGCGGAGTAGCAATGAAAAATATTACAAAAACTGATGAAATTAAAATTACAATGAGAAAAATAACAAATATATATATATATATATATATATTTGTTATTTTTCTCATTGTAATGAGAAAAATAACAAATATATATATATATATATATATATTTGTTATTTTTCTCATTGTAATTTTGTAACATTTTATATATCTATCGGTAATATATATATAGTAATTATTACCATTTGTAACAGTAATAATAAATGAATATAAAAAAATAATTACTTTAAGAAATTTTTACTATAGCAGAGCGCAGAAATAGAGAAGTATATATAAAAATCAATAGACATAAACAAAACTTCTATTTTAAATATGGATAATGGAGTATATATACTGCCAGTGATTTTCATTATAGATATGATAGTGCAGTATAGTACAAGCACTGTTAACTAAACAGTAGAAGTGTGTAGTAGACCTGTTTGTAGCAGAAAGGGGATTGTTAGTAATGTGGACTGATGATCTTATTGCTAGCATTGTCCATGTTAGGTTGATATGCACACGGTCCCCCCTGGAAACCACCGTGATAAATTCTTGATGAATTTGTCACGATAGTTCACTGACCTGACCTCATGCTCATCTTATCATCTTCCACTGGTGCCCAGCCAGCGTAAACCGTTAACGCAGGTGGTGCACCGTTTCATTATCATCCATAAAAGAAAGTAGACCTGTTTTTTTATTAACATTAACGTAAAGGAAAAAGAGATTCGGTCACGTGTAGATTCAGGTTGGTAAGATTGATTGTCCCATTATTCATATTATTGTGTAAACAAAATTACAATACCGCGGAACTAACAAAAGCAAATAGCTTTTACTTTGAAAGCAATTCTTATTAGGAAAGTAGATTTAACCCCCGATTTTGTCTACTTTTTTGAGGTAAAGGATGCTGAACATAGGTTATGTTTAGCAGTTTAGTAGTGAAAAGCTAACAAATAGACAAACACACTTGCATTGACGGCATCGGTGGTCTTGCGGTTTAGCACATTGCCTTACTTCCGATGGTCGGGGGTTCGATTCCTCGCACGGTACAAACATTTGCATTCATTAGTATTATTGTTTGTATATTATATGTAAAAATATATATGTATTTGTATCAGTTATCTAGGCACCAATGACACAAGTTTTAGTTAGATTAACTTGGGTCTAGATGGCGTGGTGTGAATTGTCCTGAGATTATTATTATTATTGTTTATAATATAGGTAGTATGAATTATAGGAGATGAACAGGTGTAATTCTATTTACTATTTATGTTTAATAATACTTTAATATTATCTTTTTTATCTAGTCCATTTACTATAGGGTACCACTTTCGGTATTCTCTCCATTACCAAACGGTTGCTTGAGAGATTGCCTTTTGTTCCTTTTTACTCTACACAACTAACATAAATTGTTCTCCGTAATTTACTTCTAATGCAATAAAGAGTTAAGAAACAAATGAATAGAAATAAATATTTTTCAGCACTCAGTATTAAAATAAAGGTACATTCCAATTAGTCTAGCTAGACTAGTAGTTTTCTAAACCTCCTTCAGCGGTTTCTAATTGTATAAAATAAAGGTATATTCCAATAAGTCTTCTAGACTAGTAGTGTTCGAATAATAATAGACAGTCATAACAAACGATTTTAATTCTATAGATACTTACCCATAATAAAATTCTTAAGTATCACAGAAAAAAATGTACAATACAATAAAATTTTGAAAAAATAACACTTGTATTTTGTTCTCGCGATCTCTTCCCGAATTTTTCGTTTAGGGGAAGCGCGCACCCCCAGCAGAGTCAATCGCGCTACTGAACTACTGAAAGCCATCTGACTAAGGCTGTATTCATACAGTAGTTCGTGCAATGGAATACAGTTAGTTATTCGTTATATATATAAGACTAGCGGCCAGTCCACGGCATCGCACGGGTGGACATTTTTACATTTTACATATTTATCTCATCCTAGTTATTGATATGTTCTTCAATATTGACGACCTCGGTGGTATAGCGGTTAGCACACCGCTTCACGACCGATGGTCGCGGGTTCAATTCCTCGCACGGCACAAACATTTGTATTCATGGGTATGATTGTTTGTATCGGTTGAGTGTTTTCTATGTATAATGTGTATGTATTTACAAAAAAACTTATATATATATGTATCAGTTGTCTAGTACCCCATAACACAAGCCTTAGCTAGCTTAACTTGGGTCTCGATGGCGTAGTGTGAATTGTCCTGAGAATAAAAAAAAAATGTAGAACATACTTTTGTTCTATCACTAATAGTTTTCGCAGCGCACGTGACGAAAGATATTTTATAGCATTTTTTTACACCTAGAATTATGTTACTGAAGTTTCAGTCTCAGATCTTTTCTAGCAATAAATATAAGCCTATGTTACTTAGGGTGAATGTTTAGTAGTTTTTGAGTTTATTAATTACAAACATACATACACACAAAAATACAAATCTTTCCTCTTTATAATATTAGTATAGATAAATAAATGTTACTGTGGACTTTGCTGTTCGTTTATTTGTTTCATAAATTATTACCTGCCAGTTTTCGGTGTATCGCACGTTTTGTAACATTAAATTTGTATACAAAAATACTTATGAGTTAATACCATGGACGTAGATGTACGTAGATGATGCAAATACGCATATTTTAATATATTATTTTACTAAATTGCTTATTTTGTTGTTGTGCATAATGCACCTTTTATATAATTTGTTTTTTTTTATTAATTTCAGGTGCACTAAAGAGTTATTACATAAACAAATAATAGAGAAATAACATACGTATATAAAATATTAATAGAAAAGTATGTTATATAGATATATTCTTTCTCTTTTTTTATAGAAACTGACTAAGTTTCCATTCGGTTGATAATTTTCCTATATCTTGCAAAAGTCGTCTTTCCATATGAACTAAAAATAATTTATTTATTTATTTATTTATTTAAACTTTAATGCACAAATACAATATATAAATGTACATATGGCGAACTTAACACCTAAGGGCGTTCTCTACCAGTATATAAAATATTATAAACATTTACGTATAACTTTAAAATAATACATATTATTAGTTATATAGATATATATATATACACATATACTTTTTTATTTATACAGAAAATTACCCATGTATGAGGCAGAAAATAAGTTCAATAGAGCGGAAAAGAAAGAGATAAATAAGTTTTAATTATGATTGCACATTGCGAACCCGTAATTTAGCTTTGAAATGAGATTTATTTTTAATAGATTTTCCTATATTGCCTGAATGGCGAAGAGTAAGAAATTTAGTACGATGGTCAGGAAAAGAAGCAAGGTCGAACGAAGGTTACTTTCCATATTGATGAACTAAAAATAATATAAATATAAAAGTCAATATAAATGAAACGTATAGCATTATTGAGCAAACGATCCAATTTGTTCAAGAGGTCTTCATTCATGTCTGAGCAGCACACATCAGCATAATAGAGTGATGCTGCGGTATGCTTTGAGCATTTACGTGACAAATTTTCAGACAGTGAGAAAAACGTTAATATAAATATAAAAGTTAATATAAATCTATTTGTTATTATTTGTTAGAATAGATAATATGGCTTACATAATATCAATAAGAGGTAATTTTTATTCAAATAAACTTAATATAAGTACATTTCTTTGTTTCTAGCTCATATAAGCGTTTAAAATAGTAATATTTTTTTATTTTACCACTCATTCGGAACTACACTTTTTATGATGAGTCTGTGCATCATAAGAAGAATGAGCAACTAGTATGTTGGTCTTGAATAAATGTTGTACAGAATTACATTTTTAACAATTTTGTGAGAACATCAAAATTCACGTAGAGTTCAAATAGAACTATAGACTTTTTCAACATTCAACATTTTTCTATATCAATATTATATAATGACTCATTCGAAACTTCAGTTGATTGAAAACTAAAAAGAACAAAAATTTTAATAAAAATACATAAAATACAGTTGCGACATCTATTTATATGAATATCTGTGGTTATTGTATTACAGAAGGAGAAACAGTTAAGAACGTATTATATTTTGTATTAAAACTAGGTCAAGATTATATAGTAGATACCTGCTAATATGTTTACGTCACAGATATAACGGAAAAGTGGTTAGTTAAGCTATTAAACCTGTCACAAAAGAAAAAAGAAAAAGAAACATCTTCCAGGGTCAATGTTTCCCGCTACTGACAATATAGGGTCTTTCAAGGATATAGTGAACAATAATAAATAAATAACTCTGGACAATTACGAGTAACACTGCGTCATCTAGTCCCACGCTAAGCATAGCTTGTGTTATGGGTACTAGATACAACAACTGATATAAAAACTTAGATATTTTTTTGTAATTACATACAAAATATACATAGAAAATACCCAGACCGATACAAACAATGATATTCTTGAATACAACTGTTCAACTAATTCTTGAATAAAAAAAAATCATCGTGCAAGGAATGGAATCCACGAATAACTGAAGTAAAGCGGTGTGCTAAATCGCTAGACCACCGCGGCCGTCAATCTAGGTTCTAATACTTCAAATCTTCATTTCGTTACTTTATAATAATAATAATAATAAATATTATTAAGCCACAATCATATAAAAGTCTTAATTAATTTTCGTAAACTAAATTGTGAATGGTTGAGCCTGGAAACTGAACGGCACAGGCGCGAAGTCTGTATCTTAGTAGACCAGAACTCACCACTCGGTTGTGCGGTTCTATATAGGTTTATATAATAAGATTACGGTAACATCTTAGGAATATATATATACTAGCTGGCCCGCGCAATTTTGTCTACATCACACTTACTTGACATTTATCATTATAGTTCACTCAATTTACATAATATCTTCTTAAATGATAGCCTATGTATTATTCTGACGTGCAAGCAATAATATTGTAAAGTTTCAAACATCCATCCATACTCACAAACTTTCGCGTTTATAATATAATTAATAGATTCTTAAATATATACTTATTTATGTACTTTGCTTTTTGGCAGTCAGCGAAAAATCTCCATCCCTTAACTACCTTCATTCTGAAACACTCCTAATATTTAAGTAGAGTTGTCAAGTGTAGTTTGTATCGCCATCGAGAAAAAGTACGATGTGAAAAATAATTCAATTTTTATATTCGTAAGTACCTGACTTCATTAATGTCAATTTTATCATTTTATCTCAAATTACAGCTGAAGTGATAAAAATCTCTTTTGGAAGAAACATAGGTATTTTTTAAAAGGTTGCATGCAAAATATTCTAATGGTTTTAGAAGCAGATGAAATGTAGGAATATGAAAGTGAAAACGAAATAAATAGATACTATCTATTTTTCTCAGACCTAATGAGTGTGTATATAAAATTTCATAAAAATCGGTCAAGTCGTTTCGAAGGAGTATGGTAACTAACATTGTGACACGAGAATTTTATATATAAGATATATTATACTCGTAGATATATGAGGTGACGATACGGCTTATAACTCTCGTGAGAGTGAAAAGTTTCTACAGCAAAATGCTGTAACGTGTTGAAGGAATTAATGTCATAAGTTTTAAATCGCTTTAAAGCGGCAGTTAACTGCAGTAGGTAAGAGAAATGAAACAAATGAAATAAATTTTTCAAGCGACTTTTAAAAGGCGGAATGTTTTATGAAATGTATTTACTTTTTTAAGCCCAATGAATCTTTTTAAGCCAGTGCTATGTTTTAATTTCAAATATATAATATATATCTTTCTGATGTTTAATGTCGGTAATACACAGACTTCCAAGAGAGATTAAAGAACTGATATGTCATAAATTGTTCAACGGAAACTAAAGAATTGGCTGTCACTTGGCAATTTTTACAGTGTCCAAGAATATTTAAGTAAAACGAACACTTTCACATAATTTGCATACCTATATGGTAAATATTGACGATCAATAATAGTTCAGGTAACATCATATTTATTGTGCCAATATTTCGCAAATAAATTATTTCATTTCATTTCATAGACTGCTTTAAATTTTTCTTAGTTACTGCGGGAAATAGTTAAAAGAGAGTATTTATTTAAAACAGCTTCAAAATATACAATACTGAACAGATAATTGCATCATATGATTCCAAAAGACATATATACCATTTAATGAAAACAATTGTGTGGGATTCGAAGCGACCACAGGATCTTATTTCTTATTGATGATAATGTATATGTAGGTACACCCACCTGCGCTAACGGTTTACGCTGGCGGAGCATCAGTGGAGGATGATAAGATGAACATGAGGTCAGGTCAGTTAGCCCATCTTGGGAAATGGCAATTTACTTCGATGATTTCCAGGGGGAACCGCGTGGAGGTCAATCTGACATGGTACATCCTGATAAATATTTCCTTTCTCACCCCCTGCCTACCTCTCCCCACAATGACATCCCCGTATGATGCCTGACTGACTAATAATAAATTTATGGGGATTTACCACGATGGTTACCAAGTGGATGTGAACCTGATACGGTACATTGCTAGCAATGGGGTCATTATAATCCACATTACTAACAATCCGCTTCCCCAGTTTTGTTTTAGTTAAAATGATAATTGCTGTTAAAATATGTTTATATTGAAAGTTCATTACTTTGTCTATTAATGTTAGGTATATGTTAAATGTTTTATAATAATTAAATACCAGTTAATAAAATAAAATATCTATTGCTGGCAGCATGTCCACCATTCT